TAAGAATGACGATGGGCCACTTTGTTCAGGAGAGTCCTTTCCCATTTTGTCACAAACTTTGTTGTGTGGAGATGAATGAAATGACTCGTTGAAATGACAATGTTTATTGTTGACCTTTTGATTAAAAGCCTTGAACTCCACACAAGACACGATTAGCAGTCAGTAAAATACTTTCTGATACTTTTCTTTTGGTATATCCTAGGTGTCTGGAAATGACGTCGAAATGACGTTTGAGTCGTTTGAATTGCTGAACCTATGCGATTCACTCACAGATTTGTCTGTCTCTACAGACTTCCGCCATCCACGAAGAATGGTTTGTTGAGGAATTCGCTACAGAGGAATACAGAGACTAAGAAGTTTATGAAACTCTTAGAATCACATGATTTACGTCAACGTGTTGATGCTGGAACACACTGGTCTGGGCACATTATGGATTGCTTCCTAATTAGAGAACCAAACTCTGTCGTTTCTAATGTAACGGTTGACAATAAACTAATGTCTGATCACTTCTTCATAAAACTGTCAGTTACATGTGAAAAGCCTGTCACATCTAAGAAGTATGTCACTTGTCGGAATATTAAGAAGACTGACAGAGAGGAGTTTACAAAAGATCTTGTAGAATCAAGGTTGATATCTGAAAGCCCCTCTGACCTGGAAATTCTATGTGAGTGTTATGAAACGACCTTGAAACAGCTGTTGGTTAAACATGCTCCTAGCAAGATGAAAATGATATCTGATAGACCGTGGTATACAAAGGAAATAAAGGCAGCCAAAGCAGGTCGTCGCAAAGCAGAGAGAACATGGCAAATGTACAAAGAATCCAGAAACGTAGTTGCTAGACTGATCAAGAATTCGAAATCAGACTATTGTCAGACTCGAATCAGTGAAGCAACTTCTCCGAGCGCTCTGTATAACTTTATGTTCTCTCTAATGGGCAGAGAAAACAAGAAAGTGTTACCTGATTGAGCAAGCCATGAAGTCTTGGTGTCAGATTTCAGCAGTTTCGTTCTGGACAAAATTGAAACTATCAGGATCGAACTTGACTCTGCTGACCAAATCCCAGAATTCAATGATGTCAATCCCCCTACAGAAGCAAGATTGGACACACTTGAACCTTTCTTGGAATCTGACTTCATCACGACCTTGTTAAAGACAGTGTACCTACATCATTCAAGAAAGCACTTGTGAAACCGCTTCTGAAGAAGAAGGGACTCGATGAGAACATTTTCAAAAATTATCGACCGGTTTCAAATTTATCTTTCCTGTCAAAAAATCCTCGAGAAAGCAATGAAAATACGTCTGACATCCCATCTTGAAGCATTTGGTCTTTATGATAGATATCAGTCGGCATATAGAGCCTGTCATAGCAGGGAAACATGTCTGTTAAGAGTTTCAAACGATCCACTGCGCTCTACAGATAAGCGGAACCTAAATCTGCTATTGCTATTCGACCTGACAGCGGCATTCGACACAATCGATCATGACAAGTCATTCAACTGCCTTCAGACACGAATGGGATTATCCGAAACTGCTTTCAAGTGGTTTGAATCCTATCTTCATCATAGATGCCAATCAGTGGTCATCGATAAAGCCTCATCAGATCAAGTTCCCCTTAACTGCGGCGTACCATCAGGGTTCGGTCCTTGGACCGATCCTATTCACCCTATATACAGCTTCTCTTTGTTATGTCATCGATGCGCATGACGTTGCTCATCACTCGTACGTTGATGACACGCAGCTACACAAATCATTTCCCGACCGAGATACCACTACAGCACTTAGTGACCTTGAACACTGCACATCTGCGATAAAATCCTGGACGGTGACTAACAAACTTAAGTTAAACGACAGTAAGACAGAGGTTCTTCTTGTGGGTACAGACTCCAAACGAAACTATATCTCTGAATCTTCGCTTCGTATTGGAGACTCATTAATACCATTCTCTGATGCTATTAAGATTTTGGTGTCTTTCTAGACTCGAATATGACAATGGACAAGCATATAGAGCACACCTGTAGAATGTGCTTCTACCACCTGAGAAGTATTGGCCAGATTAGACATTAGACTCAGGAAGCCAGTTAGTAAGGTCTCTGATTCCGTCCAGGATTGACAGGGCAACAGCTTGCTTATCAACATAAGGCAAGATCTACTAATGAAGCTTCAGAGGGTACAAAATGCCTCAGCTCGGTTAATTCATCGCTGCAAGAAAATATCCAACATAGCACCAATATTGATGAATCTCCAATGGCTCCCAGTACAAGCTAGAATCGAGTTCCAAGTGTTATCCCTGACCTACAGCTGTTACCATGATGTTGCACCAGGATATCTGAAAGAACTTCTTCAGAAATATACTTCAAGCAAAAATCTGAGATCCAGTTATCAACCTCTATTTACCATCCCCAAGATCAATCTCAAATCCTTCGGCCAGAGATCATTCTCATTCTGTGCTCCTTCTCTCTGGAATTGTTTTCCTTTTGATATCAAAATCTCCCCATCCTTAGCTGTCTTTAAGTCCAAATACTAAACCTATTTCTTCTCCAAGTACTACCCTTGATACCTGCGCTTTGCGCAACCGCAACGGATGGGAAATAGCGCAATATAAATGCACTTACTATTATTATGACAAAAACAGGTAAACCTTTTGAAATGGGATTTGTGTCATTTCATCATCAGTGTTTCAGAAGGATCTGTCCTCAGTAGATTAGGAGCATCGTAGACCTGGCCCCGATTTCTAGAAACAAACTTAAGTTTTTACTCAAATTTCAAACTGAGTTTGACAAGTTGAAACAGCTGAATTTGTGACTCAACTGCATTTGTAAAATTAAAAAAAAGGGAAAACAACTTAAGTAATCTATCTACCAAACTCAGATTGTCTACTATGTTTGAGTTAAATATCGATTTCAGTCCATTCTGGGAAATGCATTGTCCTGTGTTTTCTCAAATTTGAGGAAAAAGTCTAACTTAAGTCAAAACTCAGACTTAAGTTTGTTTCGAGAAATCGGGGCCTGGAGTACATTTGCTCAGTGCCGACGAGACTGCGCGTGTAAGCATGCAAATGAATGGTTGCGTCATTAGGTGCCACTGTATGATGTAATATGTATGTTTATCAAAGAATGGCGTCTTCAAAAGCTGATATAGGAACGCTTGTATATGTTACTAGTACTACATACTAGTTTTCAGGGACGTAGCTACCATTTTTAAAAAAGCACGGGGCTTACACATGACTTTTGCTAAAGAAGACCATGAAAGTTGGGCAAGACCTCAATACTGTCTTAATATAATGCTTTGCAACCTATCGCCTGGTTTTATTTTAGAAATCTTGTGTTGTATTTAGAGAATAACCAACTCGATACGAGTGATTACGGGAAATATGCCCGAGTTGAAATAATGTTCACAGTGCCGAGCCTTACCCATAATGTAATTTAAAAGGAAGAATCACGAAATAAAGAACACCCGCAGACAGGACTTCAAACAGCTGATTCGTATTCATGCGCCTATCAAACCTAACTTCTCCAGCGGTAATAACATAACTACGCCATGGAAAATGGTACCTCGTAAAATCGCTTCAAAATACAACAGAAATATTTTTTTATGGAATAATTTATAAACATTTGTTAATATGATAAAAATGATCATGCAATATCATTGAACTTAATACCAGCAAAAACGTTATTTGATCAAGTAATTAAGTGCCCCGGAACATCGTTCATTCACAGAATGACGTGTGTCTGGTGACGGGTGACGGTGTAGTGTTGAAACATACTTTGGCAAAAACCTGTCAATTTTGGGGAAAGTCAACGGTTGGGAAATCTAAAAGAAAACCATCCCACGAATACATCTCGAAAAAGTTTCCTGTCAAGAAACTCGACAAGTTTGAAGATTAAACAACATTTTGTTCTGTGGAAGGCGTGTTACAGTCACGGCATTGGTCCCAGTAGAGTACAGCAGTTCCAAGAAGGATGACTCTAACCGAATTCAAGTCAATGGGAAGAAAACACCTTTTTGGAGCAGATGGTTGACTGACAGACGAGTCATTCGAGATGTTGGAGTGGAATGCACCACCATAAATTGGACCTGAGAATAGTCACATGTACAGAAAGAAGATTTACGGCATGCTACAAAAACTGTGACGTTCGATGGCATGGACGCCGACTCACTTGTCACACTTTCAGGTAACAACTTTAGTCGGTATCTTGCTGCTTCTATTTCCCCGAATTCAGTTTTAACAACAAACAGGTTGTAGGAATTCAATGACTGTAAAATTCTTATCACTATCATTAGGGCACCGTCAACTTGAACTAGATCATTGACCTTGATCGGGGTTAGCTTAACGGCGGCCATGTTTTGTTTTTTTTAAGGTTATTTATTTTAAGAAGACTACTATTTATAACGCAATTTCATTCCAAATTAATCCTGTCTAATAAAAACAGTATTCACATTATTTAACCTTCATGTTTTCTTTTTTAAATCTCGGATTGTGTGAGCACAGCACATTCTAATCATCAATGAAACGGTAAAATTTGTCAATGAACGTGGATCATGAAAAGTAGTTCCGTCAACCAATCATATTTCTTCTCTGCTTAGCTGACCAATCAACGTTGAGAATCACTGAAAAGCACATGTGCGAATATCACAAAAATTATCACCTGTGTATCCTAGCCCGTGTGGGTAATAAACAGTAGTACATACCGATGAAGATCTGGGCTAGAATTGTTTTTCAGTAACCCATGCTTGTCGTAAGAGGCGACTAACGGTCGTCTGGACTCACTGACTCGGTTGACAAATGTCAACGTATCAGAGCTGCGTAGAAAGATGCTCATGATATAGATTGCTGGATCCTATGGTTGACATATGTCATCGGTTCCCAATTGGGCATATCGATGCCAATGCTGTTGATCACTGGATTGCCTGGTCCAGACACGATTATTACAGACCCCCGCCATATAGCTGGAATATTGCTGAGTGCGGTGTTAAATAACAAACCAACAAACAGTAGTACATATGTTTTCGGTACTACTTGTGCTGTATACGAATGGATTATTGTAATATATATGCTCTTTATGGTAGAATACGTTTTATACAGAAGTACCTGCTTTGCATATGATTGAACAGGCATTCATGTCGTATAAAGTATATGTTTTATGCAGTAGCCCATAGGTTGTATACGGTTGTGCAGGATTTCCTCGTTGAAGCTTCAAGAATCACACCTCCAGGTTATATACATCTGCCACATCATTTAGAAGTTATTCTTGGTCGGAATTGTACAACATTCCTGAAAAAGACAGAAACGATGTGGAAAATCAAATATAAATATTACCAAAATATCTATCCAAGTTCTTAATGTTCTGGGACGGTGGGGTAGCCTATTTGGTTAAAGCGTTCGCTCGTCACGCCGAAGACCCGGGTGCGTTTCCCCACATAGGTACATTGTGTGAAGCCCATTTCTGGCGGACGTCTCCACAAACAATCCTTGTCGTGTACATGAGCCAGACATGTATTCAGTGATGTTTGCCAACAAGGACATGTCTAATCCACATCACTCTGTCATGATGACGATGTATGATTAAATGGGACAAACACAGTCTATTTCTATAGGGGCGGTGGCATAGCCTAGTGGTAAAAGCGTTCGATCGTCTCGCCAAAGACCCGGGTTTGATGCCCCATATGGGCACAATGTGTGAAGCCCATTGCTAGTGTCCTACGCCATGATATTGCTGGACTATTGCTAAAAACGGCATAAAACCTAACTCACTCACTAACTCACTCTATCATCTGTGAAGGTCTAGATACATTTAAACACAAAGCTGTATTTATTGTGCTACCTTTTGACAACCTTTTGTCACAATGTGTGTGTGATACGGCTATGTGTTTCTGTTTACTCCATCTCCATCGAGACACAAAGCACCTGTCTCACCTGCTACACATGCCGTCATGAAGCAGGCCATCTGCCCAGTGATGTTGGCCCTGACGACATACTTGTTGATGACCCCCTTCCTGCTGGGTGCCAACGCAGTGAGGATGCCCATAGTCACGCCAACAGCACCGATATGATTCATTCCACACATGGCGTACGTGCCTATAACTTCTGAACGCCTCTGAAGATGAAGGACACAAACAGTGAACGAAAACCGCCTCCATACCCTCCCACGATACCTGGCGTAATGGTTTATGTGTTACCGGTAAATTCTTAAATGTTATCAACTGTATATCTTGCTGTGTAATTGATAATTACATGTACACTCAGAAGGCACTTGGTCCCAGTTTCTTTAGATGTCTAAATTACTCACGAAGAGTTGCGGACCTTGGGCAATGCATAACCTATTGATGATGAATGAGTGAATATTGCTTTATGCCCTAACAGTAGTCGTATAGATATTTACGTTTCATGTTCATATCGTTTTTGCTCTGTGTATGTTTTTGGTTTCTCAGAACAATACTCGTTCTCGTGGGTTCCATCTAAATGATGAACTTCTCAGATCAGATCAAGCCAAAGCGTAATTATGCAATTAAAAGAAAGATGAAAGCGTTGTTAAAACCGACTCACACAATCATGCTGCGGTTTGTTACGTAAGTCTGTGAAGGCATGGGATACACTGACAGTGTTCTTAATGCGCACTCTAAGCCAGAGGGCTCGTGAACAATTTCATCAGTTATGAGAGCTTGCGTTAAGGCCCTTATGAACAATACTTCAGGTGTATCATGGTTTCATCACATAGGAAACCATGAGGAAATGCAGATCGTAGATGATCATCATTTTCTTGAAAATTATGTGGACCAGACTCAGCTGAGGAACCATAAATCTAGGATTCGAACTCAGCTAGCAGTAGAATAGAACCAGACCTGTACCATCCAGATGTAAGTTAGATGAGGAAAAAATACAGATGTTTTTCACATCCACACTGATATAAACTTACACCCATCCAAACACCAAACTTACGTATACTAAATTGGCTGCTGCAATGTATCACTAAGTCATTCAGACATGGTTGACAGATACGTCTATCGTTATGATATAATGTTGTGTCCATATATAGTATTGGTTTGACTGATAAAAGAGTTTAGCATCATTGGTCATCATGTTAACTTGCCACAGGATAGCCGTCAGGTAAGTGTGTTCTATAATTGTTATGTGCCGTGGAACAGATGATAGGCGACATTTGTGCACTGGGTGCTGTCAGTCCAGCGGTTCGGGTCCTACATATGTCCCGGTTTTGTCGGTACAAATCTTCAGTATCCACTTTGAAGCAGTACATTGGTGGGATAAACTGACGACACAAAACTGGACACTGATCACTTCCTGGTTGTACCGTAACTGATAAAACGAGAATATGTAACCATTTCAGTCGGAGAAAAAAGTGTTGGCCTCATTGTGTTTCTGGCCACTCACTGTTATTGCCATGAGCTTTTCACCATCAAGCATATTCTGCTTGAATGCATGGACTTATCGCCTGCAATACAAACCACACAAGGATCCAGACCTAACTTTAGATGGTACTCCCATCAAGGTAGTAGAAGAGGCCAAATTCCTTGGACTCATATTCGACCGCCACCTGACATTCTTACCACACATAAAATATTTGAAAACAAAGTGCTTGAAGGCTCTAGACTTGCTAAAAGTGGTTTCAAATACAGAGTGGGGAGGGGATCAGACCACCCTCCTTCACTTGTACAGATCATTAGTTCGCAGTAAACTAGATTATGGCTCCATTGTCTACGGTGGAGCCTGCAAAAGCAATTTAGAAAAATTAGACTCTATCCACCACCAAGGACTGAGGCTCTGCCTGGGAGCTTTTAGGACCTCTCCGGTAGACAGTCTATATGCAGAGGCCAATGAACCTTCCCTTGAACAACGCCGCATTAAACTCTCACTGCAGTATATCACTAAATTACGTTCAAATGAGCCCAATCCAGCATACAATTGTGTTTTCAACCCGCTCTATGAAAACTTATTTTCTAAACTGCCAAGCCTGGTTCCACCACTTGGAATCAAGATCAAACCACACATAACTGCAGCTAAAATTGATCTCGACATCATTGCACCATACCGACTTCTGTCCTCACCACCATGGCAAATGGTGAAACCACAGGTCGACCTTACCCTCACCAAACTCAAAAAGTCTGAAACAAATCCCTTGGTGTTCCAACAGGAATACAACCAGTTACGTTCTAAGTATAACTCTCACAGATCCATTTTCACAGACGGATCCAAGGACGATGGCCAAGTTGCCAGCGCTACAGTAATTGGAGCCAAGACTGTTTCCTCTAGGATCCCCGACAACAGTTCCACTTTCACCGCTGAAGCCAAAGCTATCTTCTCAGCTTTGACCTACATTCAACATCGTATTTACAGATTCATTATCCTGCCTTCAAGCCCTTCTAAACGTGACTTCAAGTCACCCAATCATCCCGGACATATTAGAACTGTACAACGACCTTTCTACTGGACAATATGACATCATCCTCTGCTGGTTGCCGGGTCACGTCGGCAAAGCAGGTAACACTAAGGTCGATGCTGCAGCAAAAGCAGCTCTCGAAAAGCCCCTATCTCCACTGCTAATCCCGTACAGTGACTTCAAACCCACTATCAAAAGCTATACTCGGGACCTGATGCAAAAAAGGTGGGACACTCAAGTAGGAAGAAACAAACTCCATGAATTGAAGCCAACAATCGGTTATACCTACTTGGGTTGTCAGTCAAGTCGAGATGAGGTAATTTTACGACGATGTCGCAGTCAAGCATATTCTGCTTGAATGCGTGGACTTATCGCCTGCAAGGGACTCACATTATGATGCAACAAACCTAAAAGATCTGTTCTCCCACGTGAGCGCTCATCTGATAGTGAACTACCTCAGGGAAGTTGATCTGTGCCATAAATTGTAACTGTGAAATGTAACTATCATAAATTGTAACTGTGAAATGTGACTAATAGATTGCCTGCCTTTAAATCTGATATGTTTTTAAAATAAAACTCATTCTGAGTATGTACTTACAATGTTTATTAATGCAAACTTGTTCTCGTCACTATATGGCTGGAATAATGCCGATGTGACGCAAAACCCAACTCAACTCAACTTAACTGTTATTACCTCAGTATTAACTAGCAAGAGCCACAGCTTCCCAGTGACCTACACTTGTCCGGCTGACAGTTGTTCTTCAATACCATACACCCGTTCGGAAAGCAATAGCTGACAAGGATTCAGTACGTGTCCGGATCAGCATATACTCACTGTCAGTATTTACTGATACATGTAAAAGATTCCATCGATCTAAACATACTCATTGTTTTCCCCAATACATGGAAATGATTTTGTAGGTCACAATATACTTACTGTACGTGTTCGTTCATACACGGTGGTTTGTCATACTTACTATGGCCATCGCTCCATTGATATGATCACTATATTTCTTTACACACAGTAACATTAGTGAGTGAGTGAGTTAATATTTAACGTCACATCGGCAATATTGCAGCCATATCGTGACGAAAACAATTTATACAATAAAAAGTGAAATGAGAACATTTGACATTGAAATGGAATATATGTACGTTATAAAAAACCTGTCGACGAAGGACAGTAATACAACTAGAATATCACAATTACAACTAAAACTAGTATGGAGAGTTAAAACTGATTTGGACAGTACAATATAAAAACAAGCTATGGATCGCCAACACCAGAAGGTACATCACCATACCAGGGACCATGGGGACTTACAGTACCTTCGCTACCTGCATGGACCCTACTTGGATTTACACCATCCCGTCAGCGGCTGGCGATTGAAAGAAATGTTAGCCAAATTTAAATGACAAGAATGGTACGTTTAAAAATCGTTTGACTTTGAACATTTAGGGACTTACGTACCCTCTCAGGAGGACAATAATTTTACACTACTTCAACCCCCGTTGAGGGTACAGCCACTAACAATCTCAGTTACTAATCTAAACTACCAATAATAAAATATGTATCTATTTACAAATCAGTTAACAAGTTTAATTCTTTTAAAAATGCAATAATTAAATGAGAACTTAACATTAATGAAGATATACTCGGTATTCCTCCATACAGAGTTCTGTTGGTCAGGGCGTAAATCCTGCTGTGAAATCATGTAGGAAGCAAATGCACTGTAAGTCCCTTTGGTTCTCCAGTAAGGTGGTCAAACTTCGGTTGTTGGCCTGGTTTTAATTGGGAAGAATGAATCTTTTGAATCTACTGTCTTCTTTTTTTAATTATGGTCAGGTTGGTGTTATTTTAAAACTGTGATCCTACCTCAACTATTTTACTGTCCTTTGTCGACAGATATTTTAAAATGATTACCATGTTCCCATCGCTATATGGCTGAAGTATTGCCGACGCGATGTAAAATTTTAACTCACTCACTCACTCTGTTGGTCAGATATACTCACTGTGAGAAATCCTCCAAACAGGCTTCTGTTGGTCGAGATATACTCACTGTGAGGAATCCCCCAAACAGGCTTCTGTTGGTCAAGATATACTCAATGTCAGAATTCCTCCATACAGAGTTCTCTTGGTCGAGCTATACTCACTGTCGCTACTCCTCCGTAGTGTTCTGTTTCTCAAGATATACTCACTGTGAGAATTCCCCCATAGAGAGTTTTGTTTTACAAGATGTACTCACTGTGAGAATTCCTCCAAACAGGCTTCTGTTGGTCGAGATATACTCACTGTAACTACTCCTCAATACAGTGTTCTGTTTCTCAAGATATACTCACTGTGAGAATGCCTCCATACAGAGTTTTATTGGTCGAATCCAGAATGATGTCAGCTCCCTCCCAGTGCCAGCTTCCGTTTGATGACGTCACATACTCCTCCAGATCCACACGGTTCAGCACCAATTTACCAAACTCACGAAATCCCACAAATGAATTTGCGAATATCTTGATCCCTAGAAGTTCTCCCATCTTGAACATATCCGAACTCGAGAAACCCATGAGGTAGGTGAGTGGGTAAAAGAGGTATGAACAAAAAGTCTGAAACATTGGATATTTTAACCGTGATTGCTGTAATATCCATGCATGTGGATCAGAGTGACTAAAATATAAGATTGACATAACATCTACGTATTCGTATAGGTAGAAGTCCATAAAATAGATGATCGATATGACACATAGCTTCTTTAGAGGCATTTACGAGTTGGAGCAGTACGGAAGGATAAACATATATGGATGAGCAACTTCTTACAATGAGATCAACGATTCGGTGTAGGTTCTAACACCGTCATTAAGCAAGTAGCGATCATCACAGATATAACAGAGAGTGAATGAATGAGTTAATATGTAACGTCACATCGGCAGTATCTCAGCCATATCGTGACGAAACCAATTTAAACAATTAACAATGAAAACATTTTGGAGAGTAAAACCTGTCGACGATGGACAGTAAAACTACTAAAATATCACATATATGAACATAAAACTAGCATGTCAAACTAAAAGATTTTAATTAAAGAACACAATACTATATAAAACACGAGCTATATATCGCAGATGTAACAGAGAATAGAAAACAGACAATATATTCGTACAAAAGCGTTAAGACAAATGTATCCGCAGTAACATATATGTATGGTATATAGCGTGTGATATCAGGAGATGGTAGGGCATTGCGACTTTGTAGGTCAACACTGTGTGGACATATGCTAATGCGTTTCCTCAAGACACGAGTATACAGACATAATGAGTAATGTTTCAACTTTGTGGCTGTATCCCACGCTGTTTCTGAATACATCATGATTACCGAGTTGATATCATAAGGACAATGTTTCACAGTGTATTAATGCTTATCTGAAGTGTCTTGGAATGATTCACTGTTCATATATCACATATCACAATAAAGGATTAAACCCAAAATTTAAGCAAAATAGGAAACAAACACCTTCTTTCAAGTTTTGTAGACTGCGAATGTTTCGATATGTAACTGACAACAGCAACAATAGTAAATCTATATTCATCTGGTATCTATATATCAACAGTTTCAGTCAAAATTGAACACTAAAAACCATCCTCGGAAAGATGAGAACTAATCTCCTACAAACTAGGCTGGTTGTCCAAGACGACCTCACGGATAAGTCGTCGTCGAGTGGGTCGTTGCTCATTACATCCACCAGTGGCTGGTACAGACGGAATTTGCTATACGTCTCAGTGATATGATATTGATGATGCTGAGTTGAAATATCCTACCGTAAATGAGACGCCCTCGAAACCAACCCTGCCTCCGAACCACATCAAGGCCGTATCAATGAACTCTATGGCGGCGATGAAGATGATCTGGTTGACCACGATTGTGGCCACAAGCGCGATGCCATCAAAAGCTCCCACTGACAACGCCTCCAGCACGTTTCGGAACTTGCTGCAAAAAAATTTATTCACAAACCAATAGTGATAATACCTGATAATACCTGCAATTACATAGTCATCCCCATCGTACACTTGGTATAACACGGATGCATAATTGCACATCACCATTTTCCTCTCAGATAGTTTACATTTCGATACATCATCCTCAAGTTTGCCATTAATCTTTTGAGAAGCTATTCTCTAACACCAAAGCCGTGTGGCACCAACATATGCAATCAACCAGATCTCCATGATTTACAAGTAAGAACTAAAACATTTTACAACTTTTTTCAAAACAGGACATTCAAGTTGGCCATGATTATGCATCTGGGTACAGTTTTGGATTCATGCACTTATTAAAGCTAGCATACCTACAGTTTCATAATGACGGGCAGAGTCTGCATCTGTTTCAGTGTTGATGTAACCTAACACAAGTCTTGGACTAACACAGCTGTAACCATTCTTGGAAGGTATAAACATAACATACATATAACTTTGCAAACTTTGTACAGTTTGGTTTTACAAAGGACAACATACTACTTCCCCACATTTGAGAATTTGCATCTGTTTCTGTTTTTATGTTGGTATAGTTTTTGTTTTTGGTTTTTCTTATTGCTCCCAAAGTGATGAGTACAAAAACATGATGAGTACAAGCATATTTGGTATAAACAATTCCGTGCAGAACAATGTTGGTATAAATAGTTGTATGCCTATACCTGTGATACCTACCCTACTGTTTTATTGTCCTGCGTAGACATGCGATGAATAATAACAAACGTGTTGTCATCGCCATATGGCTGCAATATTACTCATGCGATGTAAAACTTAAACTCACTCACTCACTCTAAGGCTTTGTATCTTTTCACCAAATGCTTGCATCAACACAATTTGATATTGATCCCTCTATACCTGCCCATGACATAGTGCCATCCATTCTGCTATTCGGGGCGATTTCTTATCAACATGGAAATAGTGTCACCAGTAGAGCGTTTCATTTGACACCCTGTATACTTTTCATTGTACAATCGGCTCCCATATGTAATGCACTAATCCAAATGAGAAAATAAACGCTGGTTAGTGCCTTGTATGAAGCAAAACATGTTCTTGTTGCAATGAGAGAAATCATAAGTCCCAAAGCTCATCCACAGCCATGTACTAAAACATTTCACACTGAGGTACAAGAATGAATGAATGAATGAATGAATGAATGAGGAACAAGAATGAATCAATGAATGAATCTTTTTGACCTGGGACGCGGAAAGGGGCCGTTGGACAGTTGGTGAATCGTTATGCTTTAACAGTGTGGCTGCTATTATGAACCTTTCAGACCAATTGCCTGTATTGGCATGTATTGAATGAAAGGCATTTTTTTAGTTTCTTTAGTACTTGATGTAACCAATGTTTCTGTTCAGGTGTGAAAAAAGACTTACATGGGTATTTTTTAAACATGGTATACACTAGACGTCAAAAGAAACGTTACCCTCCTACCTTTATGAATTCCTTAAAAACTATCAAAGATGTTTTAGAAGGTTTTAGTTTACAAGAAAGCGTAACAACACAGCTTTACGCAAATCACGAAAACAATTCTCAAATACATTCATATTTGGGTGAAATACATCTTTTTCAGAAGAGATAAATTGTCCTATATTCTTCCATGCCAAAATAAACCAATAATAGTGATTTTGATGTCCAAAGGAAAGGTTGAAATATAATTCAGCTTTGGGACAATGATAAACCATTTATAGTCACCATTTTTCAACTATTTAAACAAGAAACCACAGTTGTAGACTTTGTAAAATTGTAAAATAATCATTGCTATGATTTCTGTCTTTTAAAACATTTTCTGATGATATGCATTAGTGAAAACAAGTAAAACATGTCTATGATATTGTGAAAAAATGTTTAGGAACATCTACAATTATCTTTGCTAACATGTTTGCTTGCAAAGTAACATTTTTCCATTTCCATTTTACACATAGCAATATCAATTGCCAAAACGCAGCAATATTCAAACAGTATTTACATCCATTTCTATTGTAGAATGATTCTATAGGGTATAAAGAGAGCCTAGAAGACATGATATGATACACAAGTACGAGAAATATGCCACGAGTAACAGTTGAAGGGAGAGAAAGAGCCACTCGGATGGTGCAGATGGGGTCGACATACAATGCTGTTGCCAACGCCCACGGATGCCACCGTATCACGGTTATAAGACTTATTCAGGGCTTCAGACAGACTGGGATCACCGTTGACAGACCAAGAAGTGGACGTCTACGCATCACAATGCCAGTTGAAGACAGGTACCTCCGTCATTAAGGAAGAAGGGTAACGTTTCTTTTGGTTTTTAGTGTATTGTTTGAGAGTTGACGTGCATCGGGATGTTTGTGAAATGGACAGCATGTTTGACAAGTGACACACATCATTGGTGAGTGAGTGAGTTTAGTTTTACGCCACACCCAGCTATATGGCGGCGGTCTGTAAATAATCGAGTCTGGATTCATCATTGGTATTTTTTACAATATGGGATATTAGTTGAAAAGTGTCTTGAATCCTTGAAAACATTGACCTATTGTCAAATGTCACAAACCTTAATGTATGAAAATATGGATAATATAATTGTCAATAAAATATTTGTCAAAATATTACAAATCACAAAACGCGTGGTTAGTGTACCTGGTTTGGATAGTGTAGGCATCCTGGGGTTTAATCTTGGACCAGCGCGTCTCAGGAACCATTAGTTTGGACATAGCCAATGCAGCAGGAGCCGACATGATGGAGGCAGCAAGAAGGTGATTAGGTGGAGCCTGAAGACAAAAGGATAAGAGAGACACCGTGGAGCATCGCTACGTATGAAAAACATTTCATTCGATCAAAAACTCTAACGAATACTTAGGTATTCGTATAACTTCAGCTATGTTCTTTTCAAATAAACACGTTCAAGCTCGTACGCCCTGTTAATAAAAAGTCCCCTATCTATCAATCCCATGTGATAAAACCAATGAACTGGAGAAATGTTCTTCAGTGAATCCCTTCGAACAATATTTTGGTTATATGATATACATTTATCTTACCTCACACGAAGATGTCGTTTTTAAATTGGCCGAGCCAATCAATATACCCTGCTTACAAGCGAGTAGCATGCTCTATGTACCCACTAGAAATGCCGAACTGTGGAAATTCGTTTGGTACTTTGTGTTAGTAATTTGTGGACTGTTACCTAACCCCGATACTCTTATTATGATCCAATACCAGTGCTTCAAACATTTCAAACTTAATATTGAGGAGTTCGGTACGATAAATACGTTGTTCATTGGTCACGAGGGGGATATGGGTTGATGAACCCTCTATGTTTGTTTATGTTACCTGAGCCCGAAATAATAAGACTGGTATTAAATGCCAGCTGGGTCTGAATTTGGAAAATACCGAGGAACGTTTACATGTATGACTAGAATTTTTACTGTTCCCCGGCAGACGCGAGTGTGTCCACATGCCCTTAAAGTCGTTGTAAAGGCCAACACTGTTATTGGGATATTTCTCATATGTTAACATTAAGAAATGGCTTGGCAGTGCCCATTTCTAACATTTACTTGTTTCCAGATTGTCAGAGAAGGGCGTCAAGATCATTCACGTTAAATACATACTACTACTACTACTACTACTACTACTACTGCTACTACTACTACTACTACTACTACTACTACTGCTGATGCTACTACTGCTGATGCTACTACTGCTACTACTACTACTCGTACTACTCATTATTATACTATTTGTTGTTGAAGTGTATTAGAAAGCAAAAATGTTTAGTCGGATGAAATTAATCTAACTATCCTTTTGAAGACTTCCTACAGGAATGACAGACTCGGGCAAACTGACGCTCGCAAGAATATTAATGCAAGTTCCTTAATTCAAAATATGCAAAATATATTGTCACGATAATATGCCTCGATAAAGTGGACCACCAGAGACATCATATCAGAAACGAATTATGTAACCCACTCCAGAAGTTTTACTCCCATTTTTACAGACATGTTAAAAGTGTCTATGTTGCTGGACACAGTTATACTTACCCCAAAGCTGGTCAGCATCCCGAACACACTTCCAGCAATGCTAGCAAACCCCGCCGCCATGATAGCGTGCATCTCGGACGGTGTAAGGAGAGGGAGGTAGGGTTTCACAGTTATTGGAGATTCTGCCTGTAGAACAATCACTAGCAGAATATAACCGGGCAACCAAACATACCGGGATTTCCAGTATTTATGCCCACTCGAAATTACGCCCATGGGCTTAAAACAGGATATTTCCCGTTATTAAGCCCATGGGCTTAAATAAAGATATCAAATTTTATTGTTTAGAGTAACGTCCATTTGCAAAAGCATATGGCGATCGTCAGCATATAACGTTTGTAGTGCGGTTAGAGGTTTTCACGTGTACAGAACGTTTTGGATTCCCAAGAGAAGTCAGGTACTCTATACTCAAATAGTCAATGTCAACCCATATGACTTACACGCAGTCGAAATAAAATATGAACAAGAACAAAGTAAAGTATGTAAATATTTCATCAAAAGAGGGGGTGTCATTCAAGTTCAAGTTTATGACATGTCGATCAAATCTTCCCCAAGGTGGCCTTTAAATACCAGCACACTTCGTCTTTGTCGGGAGCAGTAATCATGTTATGAAATTAACAGTGAATCTGTAATCATTAAACTTTGACAATGTCTAGAAAATCCTTCACAGTGGCACAGAAAATATACATTTTAAAGCAAGTGAAAACTGAGTATAAAATAACCTTAGTCTTGCTTCACGACAGTTAAATATTCATCGTAAGATCTCCAATCTGAAATTGACATGTTAAATCTGGATTGAAAAAGTGAGAGGAGACGAGAACCATCAGTTCCAAAACTAAACGAAACACTCTTGTGTTGGTTCCAGGGGGAAAAGATTAAGAAACACGTAATCATCTAAAAGTTTTAGAGAAAGGGCTATATTTTTAAAACAAGAAATGAATATTCCTGACGAACTACTCAAACGCAGTGACCATTGGATCTTTAGGTTTTGTCAGCGGCATTCAATACATCCAGAAAGATAACACACCAAGGTCAACAGGATTACCGCAATCCAAAGATGATCAAAATCATTGCACAAGATCACTTGCGAAGTACTGAACAGTTAACACTGGGAATGTGAAAACTTGCTATCTTCAACATGGACGAAACACCGTGCTACGTGGACATGACTGGGACCAACACCCTCGACTTCACTGGTAACAAGAATGTTGATGCTATCCTTACAGGACAAGAGAAAAATAGATTTACGGTCGTATTGTGTATCTGTGTGGATGGACGTGTCCTGAAGGCAATGATCATCTTAAAAGGACTTGTTAATATCCCAAAGTGCACTGTCCCCAGTAACATCTGTTTGTTCGTCTCCAAGGGTGGCTGGATGAGCGAACAGTTGATGCTAAATTGGATTGACAGTGCCTTCAAGTCCAGGGGCAAATTCTTTGCAACCACCCCATCTCTGTTATTGATGAGAGTCATAAAAGCCACAACACGGAATCAGTCATCAAAGCTTTGAAATTACTATATGTTGTGACCAAAATCAAAATCAAAATCATCCCGCCAAAATCTACAGTCTGGTGGAGTCAACAGGCCATTTAAACCTAAGCTCGGAGGATTGTGGCAAGACTGACTCGTCAATGGAGAACGGGAATATACTCCAACGGGAAAGAGAAAGAGGCCTTTCAAATGATATCAACTGCGGTCTCGTCAGTCCAGGAAGCAACCGTCTAAAGGTCGTTTGAATTGTGTGAATTCAGAGCAAGGTTGCAAGGTCCTAGTAGAAGTTCTCAATGGACGATTGCGCGGTTTACCTGGCTTTCAGTCTGGTCAGGAGGAAACTGAAGCCAATTCAGGAGATGATTACACCGACAATGAAGCTGAGGAGGATCCGTTTGACAAGGAACTTGAACTTGAGTGTGAGACCGGTTCAACTCAGTGAAGCACATTTAAACGGACATTTTAAATAACTGAAAGTTTCAGAAGTGTATAACTTTGTGTTCTTTAATGATTGTTTATGGTTTAGGTGTTCTGTATTATTCCGTTTATATTAAAGTTCATTCCATTGTACTGTGTCTTTGAATCGTTTTCTTCAGTTAAAAACATTTCCCGAATTATAGGCCTGGGCTTAGTTATGGGGTTTATATTTGTTAAAGAGAGGGGTCCTTTTCCGTTATTAAGCCCAGGGTTTACATACGGGAAATCCCAGTACCCCTTTCATTGAAAAGGATCTCTATTCTCCCCAAATATGTTGGAATGCGTTTTACATTACAACAATCCTTAATATAGAGGGGGCACATAGTTCGCTATTCAGAGATCCGTCCCTTAGGCGTCCCAATGGAATTAGACTTTACTCTGAATATGGTTTCAGTTCTTAGCTAATTGCTACACAACTAAGACCTATGAATTGTTTCATTGGCATTTGAGAAGTTGATGAATAATCAGAAAGGTATGATACCGTATGGGTGGCAACTTCTTCATTATATTGTGATGCCACGTTTTGGTATAGGTTCTTGCTCTTGCTTGACAAAGGTATAAGAACCTATATCGAAACGTCGCATCAACGTTCTAAAACTGTTGTTGGGGCTTCCTTACATTATATCATATAACCGGAATAACTCAAACTGTATTCAAAGCCGCGTCATCACAATTCACTCATCAATGAGTCGTGATCAAATGGATATGTAAAGGTTGCATACAAGCAAACTCCAGAGGACATTCATCACAATTAACGTATACTAGTGGTTAAATATGTAAATGTAATGATATGACTATGATCTCTATAGACTTACTACACAGCGTACACGGGACATGGGTTATTCACAATGTTCCCAACTCTAACTCGAGCCAATGATGTTTGAATCACCAGTCTACCCAAAACCTCCAAACAGCGATACAGAAACGAGAAAAATAATAAATATGTCACTGCCAAAATTCATTGTTGTTATTATCGGTTGAAGAATTAAAACCATAACCTACAAATATGTAAATAGTATTCACTTGGTTGTACTTGGTAATTTTCATTGATTACCAAAATAAGTAGTTAAGTAAACACGTTCCTTTCATGTTACTCCACTTAATCTTACGCATGAATGAGTGAGTTAAAATTTTAACTTACATCGGTGATATTTCAGCCATATCGTGACTACGAAATTCTATGTATCAATAAAAACAAAATTATACTATACATATGCCGGTCAACAAAGGAAGATAAAATAACTAAAATATCATAGATTTACATATAAACCTAGCACGTAGCCATAAAACGATATTTCTATACTCAAACGTTCTGTAGATTGCCAGCAAATGATGGGCACATGGGGACACACAGTACTTTTGCTACATTCAGTGGACCCTAGCCGGATTAAGACCATCGCATTCAGATGCTGGCGATTGGAGATAAATCAAGCCATAAATCAAATTAAAACACATCCTACGATTAAAAAAAGACTACGTTGAATGTTTCGGGACTTATGTTCGCTCTCAGGACTTTGCGTGACAAATTAAATATAGTAACATAATAGAATCGGGTGACCCATAACATTTCTCAAACAACTCACCGGACCAAGGAACATGTTGAATGCAGCGTTCACAGATTCAATAGGACTCGTGCCTAGAGTGAAGGTGAGGAACCATCCAAAGTTGGCCACTAATGACTGGAGAATCCCGTAGTGATACAACGCATTCACTGTAGCACTCATTGTGATCACCAGAGGCATAATCTGAATCAGATACAATCTTTAAGTGAGTCCTAAACATTTCCTTAGAACAACAACAGTCACTCTTTTTATACACGGGGAACACTTGCAGCGTAAAAATATATATTACTGGCGAAAATGTTCGTGTCACTGTTAATATCGCTTTGCTTGAATGAGACGTAATTGCCAAGAAACAGATCATTTGTCATTTTCATAAAACTGACCTTCATCTGTCTTTGATAAGCGGAAATAACATTGCTAAATGTTGAATAAGATACGATTTTTAGATAATTACATTCACGAACAAGGAACTGTACGGTATATGAGCTCTCAGTACTCACGGCAAACGCAAATTTATGTTCTCTGTAGATTTGACCAAACACAAACACAGACCCTTTGTCCGTATGTTTCAGGAATTCTTCGATTCTTTCTCCAAGCCAGAAAAATATGGTGTAGCCTGCAGTAGTTTGTAGGATGAACAGAGCACAGATGAACTGAGTTCCAATACCCCAGAATACAGCATGCCAGTTTACCTGAAGAGCAAATACATCCAAATAAAGAGGCACTGAGTTCCAATACCCCAGAATACAGCATGTTAGTTCAAATGAAGAGCAAATACATACCCAAGGCACTGAGTTCCAATACCCCAGAATACAGCATGCCAGTTTACCTGAAGAGCAAATACATACCCAGGACACTGAGTACTAATTGTAATACCCGAGAATACAGCATGTCAGTTTACCTGAAGAGCAAATACATCCAAATAAAGAGGCACTGAGTTCCAATACCCCAGAATACAGCATGTTAGTTCAAATGAAGAGCAAATACATACCCAAGGCACTGAGTTCCAATACCCCAGAATACAGCATGCCAGTTTACCCGACGAGCAAATACATACCCAAGGCACAGAGGAGTAATTTATTTGTGTTGGGTTTTTGTTGTTGTTGTTTTTACTTTTGTTTTTTTAATTTTTTTTGTTTTTCTTGTTTGTTTTGGGGGGGTTGTTTTTCGGGGGTTGTTTTTTCTTCGGGGTTGGGGTGGGGTAGTTGAGGTAGAGGGTGATGGATTTTTTTGGTGGTTTTATTTTTTCGGGTGTGTGTTTATTATTTTGTTTTGTTTTCGTTTCTTGCTTGTTTGTGTTATGTCTTGTTTTGTTTTGTTTTTTGTCTGTTGTTGTTTGGTTTTTATTTTTTGGGGAATAGGGGGTTGTTTGTTGCTTGGGTTTTTCTTCTTTCTTTTTGTTTTGTTTTGTTATGTTTTTGTTTTCTTTTTCTTTTTCTTTTAGTGGTTTGGGGGTGGGGAGTTGGTATGTTTTGTTTGTTTTTGTTTTGTTGTTGTTTGTTGTGTTCTGGTGTGTGTGGGTGTATGTGTGTG